TCTGATGAGCACAGTCACATTCTGGCCTGCGGTGGGATGTCGCTTGCTTTGTCACTGAGGGACTCTGGATACTAAAGTTCCTGGCACCTGGGGTATGTATGCCTGGCACAGATGAGAGCAGGCCTGCTCTGGCATCTATGACTGGAGGAGCTGTTGGGACCCAAATCAGACTGCCTTTATGCTAGGCTGTCCATCACAAGAGGATGTAGGGGCCACGGGACTCCATGATAAACGTGCTGAGTTAGCATCCAAAATGATTTGTCTACTGCTGAATGTGTGTGACCATGTCAGGAAGACTTCGTAAGTACCATTTTTAAAAAATTGAGTGTGTGTGTGTGTGTGTGTGTGTGTGTGTGTGTGTGGTGCCTGTGTTGAGATCAGAGGACAGCTTCATGGAGTCCACTCTTCCCTTCCACCTTTATGTGGGTTCTGGGGACCAAACTCAGGTTGTCAGACTTGGGTGGCAAGCACCCTTACCTTGTCTTGAAAGTTCCCTCTAAGTGTTACAGCTCAGATGGAAAGGTAGCCTGGCAGTCGGGAGCCAGGAATACCCGAAGTCATATCAACAAAACTCACACAAGAGATTTATTGGGAGGGAAAAAAAAAACGGGTGGGGGGAGGGTGCCTCTGCTCGGGTGAGAAACAGCAGAGAACTGGGCTGAAGGCAGGGCTTATAGTTTCTTGGGAAGGGGGTGGAACTCTTCAGGATGAAGCTTTCCAGGGTGGAGATTGGTGCGATTTCACATCCAGAGCTTGGGCTTTTCACTCTGTAGGGCAGAGCCTGGGTCCAGCAGTTAGGGCAGTTAGAGTGTTCTGTAGGTGGAACCTGGCAGTTGGAGGTCCTCGGGGGAGGTGCTTACATTCCCCTCTCCCCTTTTAAAATTTTATTTAGTGTGTGTAGGTTAGAGGACAACTTGTGGGTTCTGGGGACCCAGCTTAGATGTCAGGCTTGGGCAGCAAACACTTTTAATTGAACTGTCTCAAGAGCCCCATTTTTTAAAAGTTTTTTTTTTCTTCTTTTGTAGTAAGGTCTTTCCTTTTAAGAGTTACACTGTGGTCTGAAAAAAAACCCTAAACTAACACACATTGGCAGAACTCTTTGGGACTATTCCAGGGACTGACTGGGGAGTGGCCCAGTGAGTGAAACGCTTCCTGAGCAAACCTGAGGACCCATGTTTGGATCCTCAGCACCCTAAAGTTGGCATGGTAACACATCTCTGTAGCCCAGCACTGACGGACAGTAAACACAGACTCACCCAGGAGCTCACTGCCCAGTCTAGCCAAAATGGTGACATTCTGGTTAGTTTTATCTATTAGCTTGAATCATCTGGGAAGAAAGTTATCATATCAGGTTGGCCTCTGCGCATATCTATAGGTGATTGTCTGAATTGTTGATTGATATGGGAAGACGCAGTTCATTGTGGGTGGCACCAGCCCCTTTGCAGGGACCCCTAAACTGTATCAGAATGAAGAAAGCCAAGCATAAGAAGCAAGCAAGCAAGGATCCGTGCATTTATTCTCTCTGTGATGTTTAATTCCTTCCTTGACT